TTTATTATAATGGTGAAAAAAGATATGATTTTAATGTAATTAAAATTTTAATTTAAATAAATCAAATCACAAAACTATATCTTATTTTATTTAAAGCGAATAAAATAAGATATGGTTTTATAATTTGATTTGATTAAATTTAAAAATGAATTATGTTAAAGACGATTTAATTTTATTGTCATTTTTCTATCATTAAAATAAATAACTTATTATAGATATTTTAACACCAAAATTATTGAAAACTATTACAAAAATGAACTCCAATTTTATCATTCTAAAATTAAGGTTTCTAGTTTTCATATTGTTTTTCATTCAAAAAACTCAAAATCAACTATTTATATTTTAATCAAATGAAAGATTCATGCTCTCATTTTTGCAACTTAAAATTGAACAAATCTCTATATAAAACTTCAACCAGGTTTTCATGCTGACAAAAATACTAAAACAATAATATATATATATATATATATATATATATATATATATATATATAAGACCACATTTTTACACTTGAAGCTTCACAGCAAATCGTTGTGAAGGTAACCTTCACAGTGTTTTTGATGTGAATGTTCGGATTTTTTTTACCTTCACAACGTTCTCCTGTGAAGTTTCAAGTGTAAAAAAATGATCTCAGGAGTCTTACAAAAACATGTTGGTCTCACGTGAACCCAACCCTACATATATATATATATATATATACACACTTGTGTATATAAAAATATTGTTTTTACTTTTTATAGAAAAAAGACAAAAGAATAAAATGAAGGCGTTAGTTAAAGAGACCATGGCTGAAACAAATTGAATAATACAAGAACCAAATCCACAATAAACAATAGTAAAAAAAAATTATCAAAATACAGGGACCAAATCCACAATTCACTCCAAGTTTTGTTATACAAAACTTAGTATTTAACAAATAAAAAATATTTAATATTTAACATTCTTAAAAATACTTAATGCTTAACATAGTTAATATGTATATTATCAAAATAAAAATAAAAAACCGAAAAATCGAACTAATTAAGTTGACCAATCCTATTAAGTCGTTTAAACTAGTTGCTAGCAATTATTGATTTTCTTTTGGAAAAAAAACCTGAGATTAATTGCTTATAACCGTTTTTTGAAATACAAAATTATGACTGAAATCATTTTCAGAACGATAAAAAAAGTCAATTTGTCCATTTTGTTCCCGGATAATATTATTTTCATGGATGAATTCAATCGCCATCAAATTTATTGAAAGAGCATCTAGCCAGGGCTTTCAAGACTCATTTAATTAATCTTTCAAATTTGCCACACCATATATATCATATTATGGTTACAGGCGAACAATTGTATAAGAATAAGAGCTAAGGTGAAAAGCGTAAAAAAAGATACGAATCATTGATCATCTTTAATCTTAAACCTACCCATGAATCGCGTTTGATACCGGAATTGATCTGGTGCATCTCAATGCATCTAATTTTAATGTACCACTAAAAGTTGGAGATCACTTCTTATACTTCTCACCTTAATTCTTATTCTCATTTGAAAACCAACCCAATGATTGTTTCAATATCCTTCTTTGAAGATTAGAAATGGGACTTGCAATGCCACGTAAATCTATGTGGGAACCATTTATATAAAACTTGATTTTTAATATTATTATATATACTATTTCATTACTAATAAATATTATTAATGAGTATTTATATTTTTATTTATTTAATTAAAAATATTTTTAATAAGTTAATATTAATACTTAGATATGCATTTTGATAAAATGTTAAAAATGTAATACCGACAACCACAAGTAGTGCAAGAAGAAAAACTAAGATTGGTGTACAATAAAAAAGACAGATAAGTAAAAACAATACTAAAAACGTTAGACATGAAAAAACTAAGAGGACATTTCCCAACACAAAGTTTGTGCAGTCTGGTTCAACAATATTCATTGATCGGATAAGAGTCTCTTCCTTAGCTTATTAGGTCAACATCTCGGATTCTCGGTCAACATCATGGACCGATAAGAGGCGTGGTAAATAGCAACATCTCTGATCGGGTTTACGCCTCCGGGTTTAAGTCGGTGACACCAAATAATTACTACAAGAAAAGGTAAATAGTTGAGTAAAGGACCATACCAAGATAAGTTACCAATGGGTGATTTTGTTGAGAAATTTTCTTGCAATAAAACTAGTGGCTGTGGCAATTCAAGACCACAAGGACTAAAGTGGGCACCACCTGAATCAGAGTGTAGGTGGGTGGATGGAGCCAGGCACATGGTTTGGGGGATGGATGCCACCATCTCATTGGCCAGAATCCTATCCAACACTTGCCTGTTCAGATTTCACTTATCCTACCTGGCTCCATTCACATCTTCCTTTTGATCATCCTCACCCATATAACAAACCTTCCATGCTCCTCTTCTTCCATATTCAAACCCCACAAAAACACACCTTGGTTACAGAGCAACAATGGCAGCTGCTACATCTGCTGCAGTGTTAAATGGGCTGGGATCACCTTTCTTGACTGGTGGCAAGAGGAGCCATACCTTACCTGCCCCAATTGGTGCCGCCATCGGTGGTGCTGTGTCGGCACCTAGGCGGCTGGTTATTGCTGCTGCTGTTGCTCCCAAGAAATCTTGGATCCCCGCCGTTAAAGGGGGCGGCAGTTTGGTTGACCCCGAGTGGCTTGATGGATCGTAAGTCTTCTTCCCGTGTCTTTCTCACCAAAAGCTGTAAACATAATAGAAACCCTCTTCATTTCATAATTAAGGGTATAATTGGAAAGCAGACACTTATGTTTGGAAAAACTAAAATAGAAATGTGGACCGTTGTTTTGGTGTACTATGTCACTGAATTTCTACTTCTAACTGGTTTCAAACAGGCTCCCAGGTGACTTCGGGTTCGACCCACTAGGCCTAGGCAAGGACCCAGCATTCCTCAAATGGTACAGAGAAGCAGAGCTCATCCATGGCAGGTGGGCTATGGCTGCAGTCCTTGGCATCTTCGTGGGCCAGGCATGGAGTGGCATTCCATGGTTTGAAGCCGGAGCAGACCCGGGTGCCATTGCCCCATTCTCCTTCGGAAGTCTTTTGGGCACCCAACTCCTCCTCATGGGTTGGGTTGAGAGCAAGAGATGGGTCGATTTCTTCAACCCTGAATCACAATCGGTTGAGTGGGCCACCCCATGGTCCAAAACTGCTGAGAATTTCACCAATTACACCGGTGAACAAGGATACCCAGGTGGCAAATTCTTCGATCCATTGAGCCTTGCGGGCACAATCCAGAATGGAGTTTACATTCCCGACACCGATAAGCTTGACAGATTGAAGTTGGCTGAGATTAAGCATGCAAGACTCGCTATGGTTGCTATGCTAATTTTCTACTTTGAGGCAGGGCAAGGGAAAACACCACTAGGAGCTCTTGGCTTATAAGGGAAAAAAAGGGGTTGTGTTATGAAGCTTCTATGTGATCATGTAACCATGTAAATTTATTTAGAGAAATCCCACAAAAGCACCAAGTTGAATCGATCAATTCAGTTTTTCCTATTTTCATGGGCAACTAAAGAACATAAACCAGAACAAAAATGAATCTGAATCCAACTTCATTGATTATATGTTGTTTAGAATCAGTTTTGATGGAGATCTGATAGATACGATATTGTTTATCATGAAGATTCAGTGTTCATGGAAACAGTATTGTCTTCTTGGCCCAAGGGTCAAACACCTCGACAGTCGACAGAGGGGTAAAATGGTCATTTACGTCATGAAGATCGTTTATTCAGCCCAAAAACAAACAACCAAACCAAACGAACCCAGTAAATCCATTCGATGTAGACAGTCCTTACCTCAACCACTAGGATCGAGAGGCTATTTTCATGAAGACACCCGACTTGTGCACGATGCTGGGCATGTGAAAAAACAAGCAATAAGATAGGTAATATAACACGTAATCAGGAAAACAATTATGTGTGCATGATTCAATGGTGTACAAGCATACAATGTAATATGGTAAAACATGTAGTACAAACAACAATTCAGTGGTGTACAAGCACACAAACAAACAACTTAACTAAATCCTTGCAGATTACTTTATCCATACAGAGCTTAATGGAAGAGAAAACAAACCACCCCTAAAAGTCAACAAAAATGGTTCGGTTTGGAGTAATACAATTAATCTAAACAGAAAAGATGCAAGAGTTAAACTAGCAGAACATGAATGAGATCCACTATGTCACTCACTACTACCCATAGCCATCAAGAACTCACCTTCGCAAGCGATCTCACCTCCAACATACGCCTTTCCCTCCATTTTTGCGATTCCAAAGCGTTTTTGAAGTTTGATGAGTGTCATTCTCATTACCAAAGTGTCTCCGGCGACCACTGGTTTCCTGAACCTCACCTTGTCAATTCCAGCGAAAAAGAAACTGTCACGTGAGCCTCCCATTTCTGGCTGCAGCATTACCAAACCACCAACTTGAGCCATTGCCTGAACTCAAACAAATATGCTTAGTCTTTTAAAACCGGAGGCAACTTAAACTTTCAAATCTCTCATCTGACAAAGCACATGAGCTTCAACAAGTAACCTAGAAGTCATTGATCAAAGCAAGGTCAGTTCATTATAGGCACAAAAAATGCAAATAAATAAACTAAAGGGTTCTTGGCCCAGAGAAGTACTCAGGTTGATGGTGGAGCCCAATCTCCATGGAGGGCAAGGGTTCAAGCCTCACCAAAGGTGGTGAGGAGTGTGTGATTTTTGTGTATAAATACTATACACTTCAAAAGAGATGCAATTAAGACGATTAGAAATCCATCAGTATGTTTGGTGTGGCGTCCCCGGGACACGCCATTGACCTCCTCCATGATGGTAGTGGGACCCTGGGGGCGCTCCACAGGGTGGCGTCATACCCGTTTTGCATAATGTTTAGTGCTCCATAGTTAAAGAAAACATACCAAAACCAAATGTAAGAGAGGTCCAGTAAAATTTCCTTTTTAGTTTTTCTTCTCCAATAGTTTACGGATTGTAACAATGTAACACCCCAAGATCATATTTGCATATAAACATATATTTTCATATATCATGAAATATAATTTACACAACTGGTCTCACTAATTACAAAAGCTACATTATAAAGTAGCTACCAAATTTTTCCACAATTTCACTATACAACACTTAAATACATAACAAGTATTCATATACAAAAGAAAATTATGCTAGCCCAAAATCCCATGCAAGCATAATATTATTACTTCACAATTTCCCCTTTCCCTTATCCTCTGGTTGTGCCCAACCTGTAATGCACATTTTTTAAATACAAAATAAGTGTTAGACCTTGAGGTCTAGTGAGAAATCCTTTTTATACAATTACAGGTTGAATAATCACCAAATCACATTTATGAACTCATATTTGTAATAATAACAAATATATATCATTTTAATATAATAAACCTCATTTATCGCATCAAAATACCCAATAAATTGATAAACATATTATGAGTAAAACTTGTCGCATCATATAGAAGATTATATAATTTCCTCGCATCACATTATGAGACAACCCCATCTCCTCGCAACACACATGTGCGAGATGTTCGATTTTCATCCACAGAAACCCGATCATAGTTTCTGTCATTGGCAGCCTTCACATGAGAATTTTGATCAAACGAAACCATTTCAGAATTGCAAGGAGTGCACATATGGGTGTGTATATAAGAATTTAGTATTTATCTATATATATTGTAGAAGATGATAATTTACAAAGTACATATACACATCTATTTATAAAGCATGAACCGACACCATCAAGGGTTGTGATGGTTCAGCCTATAACTACCATAATAAATGATGTGTCACTTGGACACACTTTATTTTTCTTAATAATATACTAAAATACAAATCTAATTATATCATTAATTCCAACAATCTCCCCCTTAATGATATAATCAGCAAATTCTTGGTGCTTGAGATATGCTCGGTAGATTCTGCTACTGCATTGATCCCTGCTACAGTTCCTTCAAAATGATCAGCAAGTCCGTCTGCTTGATCTACAAAAGTACCGAGTCCTTCGGTATACTTGTTTGGCTTCTCTTCAAGCATGAACCCGTAGTAGGATTGTGGGTGTAGCAAATAATCTTCGAACATCTTCTTAAAAGTTACATAACACCATCGACGATGATGTGTCACATGACACATCATTTAATTTACACATAATACAATTTAAAATAAATAATATGTCTAATTATTTACAAAATGACAAATGATATTTAGTTTCCCCTTAAACATCATGTCATTTATTCTTCCAAATCTGCTTCGATCTTTACAAGATGATGACAAAGTCATCACTTTCCTTGCTGCTATTACCAACATCTTCATTTGAGTAGTACTCCACAATGCTAGGGTCTTCATCTTCACTATCAGCTTGAATTTGATCCAGCCTCCGAGTATCTGCAACATTCTGATCATCACCTTCTGAGCCAATATTGCCCGAAAAGAACCTGTTGGTTTCATCGCCAACGTCTTGTTCGTAAATGCTCAGAATTCTCCCAAATCTCTTTAATCCAAACTCGTAGTGCTCTTGTGGAATCAATAAATATTGATCAAATAATTCCTTAAATGTTTGCCCGTAGCACTCCGGATACCCAAAACTCATAGCCATTTCACTCCATTCGTTTTCGTTAGTAATTTCCTCACGACCTCCTGATTTCATCACCGGTTTGTAGAAATCGAATAAGTGAACGTCTAGTCCTGCAATCTTTGGTGGTAGTGCAAGATCCTCTCCAGTCTTCATCTTTTGAAACCAACCTATTGCCTTCTCCAATTTCTTCACGAAATGATCTTTGTTTTTGTAACATATTCTATCACAATTCACTAACACCATAAACGAGAGAAAATCATCAAAAGTTTCAACAATCAGTGGTACCGTCTTTCCTTCAATTTCCAATCCATCTTCTATTTCGTTTGAACCTTGGTTGTATTGATCCTTGAAGTAGACTCATTATGATCATCTTCTTGATTTCGTCGACTCACACACATGTGAGTGATTACACATCCAAAGTCCTTGATCTCGAATTCAAAACCTTGCAAGATTAGTTGCTTTAGACTTAACACATTTATATTGACCCCAGGTGCATACGATACATAAGGTATAGAAAGCACCGTTCCATCCGATTTCACTTTGATTTCCCCAACACCATGGATTGCGATTTGATCATGATGATCGTCTTTGTTAACAGTGAAACCACTCTTGAAATTTGTGAACAAGTCATGGTTTGGTGTCATGTGTTTGGAGATCCTTGTGTTCACATACCAAATTGAGTCCCATGTACCCTTGTCTGATCCTTCAAGGAGATAATCTCCATTTATGATCATTCGATCAACATACTTTTGACTGAATGGTTGTAAGGGATTGATGAATGTGATGCCCATGTTCGAATTATAAGGGTCTTCTTTATGCACAGATTGTGAGGCATGAAGACTGGATTCTTTATGCACAGATTGTGAGGCATGAAGACTGGATTGTTTCATAGGGCATTCCCATGCAAAATGGCCTCTTCTAAAGCAACGGTAACATAACGATTTCCTGTTTCTCTTCTCGCCGATTTCTCCACCAAGATTCCAATCGCGAAGTAAACTTGCGAGTTCTATACTTCTCTTTAAATTTTGAAATTTCCTCCTATGTATACTCCGTTTGGTAATTCTTCCTTTTCGATTAATTCACCGGTTTCTTCGATCAAACCTTGCAATTCGATCGTTTCTTGTTAATTGATCGATTCCTTCACTTTTTCTCAGCGATCGGTCAGCCCTTGGGCTCTGATACCATGTTCGATTTTCATCCACAGAAACCCGATCATAGTTTTTGTTATTGGCAGCCTTCACATGAGAATTTTGATCACACGAAACCATTTCAGAATTACAAGGAGTGCGCATATGGGTGTGTATATAAGAATTCAGTAACTATCTATATATATATTGCATAAGATGATAATTTACAAAGTACATATACACATCTATTTATAAAGCATGAACCGACACCACCAAGGGTTGTGATGGTTCAGCCTTAACTGCTTATAACTACCATAATAAATGATGTGTCACTTGGACACACTTTATTTTTCTTAATAATATACTAAAATACAAATCTAATTATATCATTAATTCCAACACGAGAACATCAACTCATCGCATCACACTGATGTGATAAACCCAACTTGTCGCATCACACAGGTGCAATAAGTTTATTTTGTCGCATTACAAAGATGCGATAAACTCACTCCTCGCATCACCCTGGTGCGATAACTACACTTCATCGCTTCACACAGAAGCGACAACTCTAAGTTTCGCATCATAAGGATGCGATAATTATGAATGTTTGATCAAAACCCAGATTTTATAACTCATGATTTTGCCACCCTTATCCCAGTATACACCTCTCCTTGATATGTCACCCTTGTCCCAGTGTACACCTCTCCTTGATATGCCACCCTTATAACCAAAACACACCTCTCATTGATATGTCACCTTTATTTCAACACATAATATAAACATAACAAAAACCCACAATTATGCTAATTATAGCATCCCAAAACAGTTTTATAAACATCTTCTCATATAAAGAACCATACGGTTCTATAACCAGTTTCCAAATAAGGAAAGTTGGTAAAATTAAACTCACGTTATGTAATTCACGTAAATGACATGAAGATGAGATTGCAACAATTCCAGTTAAGAAATCACAGAATCCAAGTTCTATTTTTGCTTTGGTTTCAAAATCACACACAGAAGACCTTTCCTTGTTACTTGCTTTTTCACCAACTTTTCAGGAGATAACACAATATCTCTAATAAACCCATATAAACAATTAAGGCGGTGGGTGATTTTAAGAACATTATAAGCATATAACCAAATCAACCCTCTTAACTTACCACTAATAATAAAAAAACAACCCCTAGCTTTATAACCTAATACACGGTTATCACAAACAAGTTCCGTATAAATTTCCATAGTTACTATTGGAACTATTACAAATAAGCTAGTCATTATCGTTTTCATTTATTGGGTCTCACACTCTCACTTATATGGTGCAAGTCTTATGTATTTGATGTAAGGATAAATAAAGATGGGAAAAACAAAACTAAGAATAGAGGATAGAGGAAAATGGTAAGAACAAATAAATGAGAGCTAGATCATACTAAAAACCATGATATCTTTTCCATTTCTTCCTTGGAACTATCCTAGCACTAACTCTATTGGAATTCTATATTGACCATATATATCTTGATTTGCTTCCCATTCATATTGTTTGACCACCGTATTTCTTGCCTCTAAATTAGGCTAGCTTCCTTTTGTTTTCCTTTCCTCCTATATTTAGGTATTGCCTCGGCACCTCTTTTCAACACACGAAATATACAAAAACTTTGAGACCATCAATTTTATGATGGTATCAGAGCGGTTTAACCTAAAACACCAACCCTAGTCGGCCTTCTGTTCTA